TGACCTGTGTAGCAGGTGCTGGACACTGGAGGAATGCTCCCCTTCTCAGTTGTTTAGGGCTTGTTTGTTTTTTTTTTTGTTTGTTTGTTTTTGGGGGTTCCCACCCCACACAGGGTTTAATTGTTGTTGGGTTTTTTGGTTCTCCTGTTCTGCTTGTCTTGACTGTTTTCTTTCAGTATTTAGTTCCAGACCTAGCTTAACAAATACCTGTTGCAAATCTAAAGTTGAATTATTCTATCTCTTCCTGTATTTGTTCTGTCTGTTAAGGATGTGAGCGCCTTACAGATGATGTATTTGTACAGCTGTTAGTATTCCATTATGCAGATACAACTGCATGTGTGGAGGGGGGAGCTGGTGGCATTGATGTATTCAGTGTGATTGAACAACAGTGGCACTTTCTATTTTTTCAATTAGCAGACCCATTGCTCTAAACAACTGTGGAGCGAAGGATCCACCTTACGCAGTGAACTTCCTGGGACACTGCACTCAGATATTTCATGCTGGCATGGTACACCTCTGCTAGGTAAGACCTGGTGGTGTTGTCCATTTTTCTCTCTCCTTACATATAGGCAGAGTTGATTTGTGGTATGGAACAGTATCACAAGTATGCTGGCAGAATGTGGAAAATCTATTGTTGGCTTAGCCTATTTTTGCATGTAATCCAGGAGCCTGAACCACATTTATAATGCTTGCAATTAAAGGCTGACAAGGTGGCTGCCTGTCATCCTAACAGGAGTCCCCAAAAGCTTAAGGAATGGTATAAATCGTACATCTAAGTATAATCCTGACAAGATGCTTGCCAGTCTGGATTGAAATGGCTTGAGTTATGTTCTTCCTAATCATTCTGTGGACTGGCATAGGCTGAGATAGCAAGTGATATCCTGCTTTGCTACTGACTGAGGTCAGTCCTGGTTTAAAAACTCGAATGGTTAACATAGATGCTGAGAATCAAATAATTGTATTTGTTGATTTCTGCTGCATTCATAAGGTGTTTGTATTTCCCTGCACCACCACTGACAGACACATATTGCAGGGCCACAGAGCTGCAGAGTGCATTTGGGATTTTATAGACCAAGTGTTTCTTCCAGAGTAAGCTGGTACAACACAGTGTCTGTTCTCACACAAACTATAAAATCCTCAAACGTAATTCTGTGCCATATTGGCGTACATGGAAGAAGATGTTGCTTGACTGCACATGCTCCTTATAAGAGCACTCTGCTGCTCTGAAAGGGC